CGTCCCATAAAGTGTTACCCATTTTGACTAAAGTAGAAATTAAGGGAGGGATAATTTTGTGTTGACTTTCCAAAAATATCCTTGATGTGATGGGTAAAAGTAGGATGTGATGTGTAGATTATTAGGAAAAAGATATGATGTGATAGGTAGGGTTTGAAAAAGTAAGAGGTAAAAGTGGTTTTTTAATAGAAATGAGTAGGAGATTGTGGGACATAATTTTTTTGAAAGGTGTAAATCTTTTTGGGACGGAGGGAGTATAATTTTAATATTATTTTCTAATATTGACTCATTTTCTCCATACATCATAATATCATATCCTATCTTATTGTAAAATAAAGGTAATTTTGATATTATTTTCTAATTATGACTCATCTATCGTACTTTTTCATAAAGTAAATGTGACGTGGGTGGTGGTGGTGCGCTGGCGGTGGCAGGTGTGGCGGTGTGCTAGTTGAGGCGGAAACGGTTCCAAACCAAAATTCATGTCGGCAGTTCCGAGATAGAACGAGTAGGGGGACGGATGAACCGAACCAAGGATCAGAGTTGTCATGGGTTGTTCTAGTTCGGGTTCTACGAGCAATATTTCGGTTCTACGAGTAATATATTGGAATGGAAACATGGGATTTCTATTCCGTTGTTTGTGTTATTAAGATTAATTTATAAGGAGGTATTTTTTTCATTTTACTCCAAAAATGAATTCTCTTTGGAACAGTTAATAATAAGAGCAAGAAATATTTTTAAGCAACAGATGAAGTACTTAATTAATTGTTCACATTAGTTCCTTATATCCTCAACATAAACCTCATAATATCACGTACATTCTTTCTTCTTAATTAATCACGTAAAAAAGACCTAAAAAAACGAAATAAAGAATCAAATATAAGAGTTAGGTATGGACTGTGTACGTCGAAGAATGCATGCATTACACAACTAACTAGGAATACAAATAGAGTGACATTATTAAGGAATTAATGAAATTAAAGAAATTAAAGCAAATCAAAGTAGTGATGAGTTAGTGAGTGAGCACAAAAAGATTCATACATACACATGCATATGCACAATGTATGTATTATGTTCCCAACGTGGTCGTAGCTCTCCGAAACATAAGGAGTGGCTCCCGCCATATGCGCCATCAATTAAAAAAGAGCAATAAAAGATATGATCCCTAAAAGTAAGATTTAATGAATAGATTATTAGTGAAAAATATATGATGCGATAAATAGGGTAAGAAAAAAATAAGGGTAAAACTATTTTTTTAATCGAAAGTATAAGTGTTTTGGTAACACAGAAAAAATGAAAGAAGAACGGTTTCGATGGAGTATGTTTCTTATAGACCACAGTTTTTAGAACTGAAATGGTGATCGAATTTATAGTGTATGATTAAAATTATTATTGATTTCATTGAGTTGTAACATTAACTTGAAAAAAAACTACTCCGGTACATACTATGAAATATTTAAAAATTATATTAAAAGTTTTATAAAGTAAGAGGTGATTTAATTTTTTTTGTTCAATAAGTTCCCCAATATTTTCAAAACACATTTAATGAGATATTTTTATGATATGTGCTCTGAATTTGTATCGATGGTTAAAAGTTTGAATCATGGCTACAACATTATTTTTTTTTTTAGAAAAATGAAAAGAAATTCATGAAAAGTGTATTATATTATTAATGATAATAAATTCTTCTATATTCTTTAACAAAAGTATTATTTCAAAGTTTTTACATAAGAAAAAAAAATCTTTTTTATCTTTTAATCATGAAGAGTGTTATATTATTCTGGTTAATGCTTAAATGGAACAAAAGAGTGGTCTAGCATTAGTGGTGGATATATACCTGGACATGGTATACTAGTGATCAGGTGTTTGAATCCAATTAATGTTAATATTTTTGAAGATTTTCACAAAAAATAAAAATAATAAAAAAATAAAAATTGGTTCACCGGTTCGACCGGCAGTTCTTACTAGTTCGAGCTGGTGTGACGCATAATACGCTCTTTAGGTCATAATTTGATTTTTTGTGAAATAATGACAATCTTTGACCCCAAATTATGCATAATTTAAATAAATAAATAATATAAAAATTTGGTATATCAAAAGTATATCCTAAGATGAACTCAATTATACTCCCTCTGTCCTAAAATTTTCTTCCCACTTCCTCTTTTTCTCCGCCCTAAAACTACCTTCCCATTAGAAAAAAAAGATGTCAAATGACATTAATACCCTCATGTATTTACACCAATTATCTTCTAACTCTATATTTTGAATGATTCCAAAAAAAAATCAAAAAATCTTTTTTAAGGAGGGTAAAGTTTGAAGTCAAAGCCAAAAATTAAAAATGGAGAAAAATCAAACTGGAAAGAAAGAATTAGGACGGAGGGAGTAATAAACTTATACTCCGTATTATACTGTAATTAAATATACGTTTCTCGCAAATTATGGTCAAAGAATTTTGTTGTTTGACCAAAGAAAAGCTTTTTGGGTCTAGGAAGACTACTACTCCGTATATACTCCCTCCGTCCCGAAGTATTTAATTTATCCATTTTTTATCTTTTTCAAACAGAGTTAATAGTATATTTAGAAAAATAGTACTCCCTCTGTCCACCATAGATCTTCTCAGTCACTATTTACAGGGTCAAACTTTTCTCACTTTGTTTACTCAATTTTACTAGTAATTTCATAAAATAATATAGTCTTGTCACCTCTAGTTTTGTAGAACTTTTCATGTAGTTTATTACTATATAAATTTTATTTTAAAATTTTACTCCTATAATCAATTAAATTGAATTGAAAATAAAGTTAGTCAAGCCTCGTAACGCGTAATGGGAAGATCATATATGGATGGAGGGAGTAATACTCTAGTACATAAAAGAATAACCTAAAATGGAAATGATCCTCCCATCGTTGATGCAACCAATTAACCATCATATGCATCTGCATATTCCCCACTCATGTCACTTCAAACCTATGGATTCTACTTTTTATGATGACATCTTTCACAAATTGCCTTCCTCTAATTACGGTGTTAATTTATTTTGGGATCGCTTAATTCTTTCTTCATCCCCCCAAAAAAAAAAACTTCACACTTTAACGTTCCATTTCATTTTAAATGAGAAAAATAGAATTCCAAATACTAATACTCCCTCCCTTTGCAAAAACAATTCGATCAATTCCTACTCTGGTTTTTTATTTTAAATACGTTTTAACTTTTATTTCGAAAAGAAAAAGTACGGAATTCTTACTTTAATATATTTTCAATATTTTACTTTTATTTTAATCTTGTTTTCTTTCTTTTGGACACGATTCCGTTGCCACTAACGGGCCATGCTACTCTGGTGCGATTGCCTTTTCAGAGCACATACAGTATTCTATTTGTAAAATTATAATTTCATGTGGTGCTAGGGTGCCACCACATGGGTGCTACAATGGGTGCACTCATGCTTCGCACAGAAAAACACAAACGATAATTGTATGTGCGACACCCACAATTATCGTCTGTGTTTGTTTGTGCGAAGCATGGGTGCACGGCACACATGTGTTGGCACTCTGGCATTTTCCTGTCACAAATCATGTAAATTTGAAAAGGCTGGGTCGCCAAATGAAAAGACGATTCCGCATTAGACGGCCACCAGGGGGCATACAATCATACATTACATTACGCCCGCATAAATACATACACAACCAACTGTCTTAATTAATTCCAACTTAATTAAAATCACATTTAGGCTACTTGTAAAAAAATGTACTCCCTCCTTCCCGTGAAATATTTCTTCTTTCTTTTTTTATCCGTCCCACAAAACACTTCTCATTTCTATTAAAAAGTCACTTTTACCCCTTACTTTTTCATACACTAACTATCATATCATACCTTTTTACTAATAATCTATCCATCAAATCATACTTTTACCCATCACATCAAAGGATATTTTTGGAAATTCAATACTAAAATACACTCCCTTAAATCTCTTCTGAAAAGCAAATGTCTCATGTTTCACGGGACGGAGGGAGTAATTGATTGTTGCTTAATTAATTACTGATCGACGGTTTTGCCCCCTCCAAACTCCATCCCTTGCCATTTCTTTTCATTGCTCTACCCACTCGCTCATTCTAGAACAAGGATGATCGATGAACAAGGACGATGGTCATAACAATAATAATAATAACCGCCCCTGTTTAATTATTATCTTCTTAAGCTCAAACACGTGTGCACTTCACACCTTCTAACTTGCTTGATAAATAATACGACTCTATTTGATCGATAAATTGATTCATCCACACTAAAATATCAACATCTTGCACGTGATTATAAATTATTATTTTTTTAACAATTTGGTGGCGTCGAGGTTCAAACTCAATCGTGACATCTCAATAAAAAAGACTCTCATATAATATCAACAAAACCAACTCGAAAAAAAGTTTAAACTTGTAATTGTAGGCCCAAGAAAAGTTTTACTCTACGCGTATAGTTCTACTTTAGCACTTCTAATAAAGTAAAGGATATGTACTTTCTCTGTTCTAAAATAACTTTAACTTACTTTTTTTGGCTAGGTTCGAGCCTCAAGATTTGAGTGGTAGAAATCTTAGTCCTCAAGATTTATGGAGAAGTTCATCTAAGTTTGAGCTTTAGCATTTGAGGTGTCGGCTCTTTTTGCATCATTAAGTTAAAAAATGTATGAAGATATAATATATTGTAATAGGATAAATAACATTTAAAAACTAAAGTAAATCTCAGTGCCAGTTTGATAAGGTTGTTTAATTTCCAAATCAGGCTTAAGTGACAAAATTAGTTACTCCACCCTGTCTCTAGAAATCCTTTCCTTTTTTTAATTCGTTCCAAAAAGTAATTCTCTTTTCACTTAAATAATACCGAGTATTTGTCACAAAAAAGGACACAAGGAGTAGTACTAATTAAATTGTCAAAGGACAATTATACCCCCAACAATAAGTATTTATATATACTCCATATATAGCAACCTACCTACATTAATTGCTTTGCATCATACTCTGTATTAGAAACCATCTAAAAATCGGTACAAAGTTCTAAGCTTTATCAATATTACTATTGTAACGCCACCATTGATCATGCATGTAATTGCCTCCAAAGCCAAATTCATGCATGCCGTAGTCTGCCTTAATAATAACAGTATAACACCTCCAAAGTTTCCGCCTCCGGTGACTCTTCCGGCCGGCCGTCATGTACCGAGAGCAATCTCAATCCCCACCACCACCATCACGCCACCGCGAGAGCTGGTGGCCAACCCGGAGTTGTTGGACGACCAGGTGACCGCGTTCCGGGACTACCAGTCCTTGTTCGCGTCGCAACGGTCCGAGGCGGTCGAACCGGTCGCCCTCCGGGTGGTGGAGGGCGCGATACCGCCCGACTTCCCGTCCGGGGCCTATTACCTGACCGGCCCGGGCCTGTTCACGGACGACCACGGGTCGACCGTGCACCCACTGGACGGGCACGGGTACCTGAGGGCGTTCGAGATAAACGGGAAGACCGGCCGCGCCACGTTCATGTCCAGGTACATCCGAACGGAGGCGCACAAGGAGGAGCGGGACCCGAGAACGGGCGGGTGGCGGTTCACGCACCGGGGCCCGTTTTCGGTCCTGAAAGGGGAGAAGATGATTGGGAACACTAAGGTTATGAAGAATGTGGCGAACACCAGTGTTTTGCACTGGGGTGGCAGGCTGTTTTGTCTCTGGGAAGGTGGCGATCCTTACGAGATTGATTCCGCCACGTTGGATACCATCGGCAAGGTCAAGTTGGTCAAACCATGTGGGGCCCAAGATGCTCCCGAAAGGCTCACTGCCGCAGGTTTCTGGGACGTGGCTGCCCAAATCTTGAGGCCTGTTCTTTTTGGTACGTAGTACACACAACTTCATTTCTTTCATTTTTTTTTAAATATGGAATTTAATGCTGTAATGGTTTAAAACTGATTTATTTATTTATTTTTAACAAAAGGGGTGTTCAAAATGAGTCCGAAGAGGTTTTTGTCACATTACAAGATAGACGGGAAAAGAAATAGACTAATAATAATGTCATGCAACGCAGAAGACATGCTACTCCCGCGCAGTACTTTCACATTTTACGGTTAGCAATTTCTCCTATTATTGGAGCACCCATATTGTTATCGATATAATAATGGAATCTCCAAAAGTTGCTTTTACTTAATCATTTTTAAGCAATTTTTTTGAAATTTCATTTTGACCATATTCTTTACAAAACTATTTTTCACCTTTATGAATATTTTCAATGATTTATCTGTCATCTAAGTCATTTTACTTTTACAAAAACAGTACCTTATCTCTCTCTAAAGGATTATCACAGTTTGACTTTTTTTGGACAAATTGTGATACCATTTGACTACGAATTAAATATAATTTAAAATAATTATATATTATAAAAATTTGATATTTTTCAAAACAATATTTTAAAATAAATCTAATTTTACTAAATTTATATGATAGCTAAATATTTAATTTCCATAATTCACGATAAAAAGCTGTCATAACTTGACAAAAAATCAAACTTATTAGCAACTTCTAAGTTAAAAAGTAGGGAGTATTTATTATCAGTAATAAGTAAGTTCTTAAACAAGACTCACAAAAACATGGCCCGTAATATAATGGTACGTACGACGTCACTAAGACACTAAGAGGGTGCATGTAAACTTATTACAGAATTTGATGCGACGTTGGAGTTGGTGCAGCAAGAAGAGTACAACATCCCAGACCACCTTATGATCCACGATTGGGCTCTCACTGATAACTTTTACGTTTTGTTTGGTAATCGCATCAAACTCGATCTTCCAGGTATATATATACGGAGTATCTCTGCGACCCTTCCGATTTGATCTTTAAAAAAGATATGATGTGATATGTATGTTAAGAATTAATATGACTATATATTGTTTTTAATAAAAAAAGAATTTTATGGGACAAGAAAAAAGGGATGAAGAAAAATTTGTGGGACAGAGGAATAGAATATAATATGATGATTCTCAAATCATGACCGATGTGTTTTCTTAATGATTAATTAATGAAGAATTTACTTAAATATCACTAAAATATAACGATTTTTTTAAATAGCATTACATGCGTTTTTCTTCCCAATGTAGCACTTTTAGTCATTATTCAAGCAAATATTCGCATCACTGGACATTATGAATATTATTAAGTTTTAATGCTATTTAGTACAAATATTTCTTAATTAATTAAGAATAATTTACCTAAATAGGAGTAAAACATAATGTCTTTCCCAAAATAGGACCATATGTTTTTATTTCCCAGTGTAGGATCTTTGGTCATTATTAATTAATCATTATTCAAGTAAATGTCTATCATTGCTGGACATTATTCCTTCCACGAAGACATTATTAAGGAAAGTCATTATGTTTTAGTTCTATTTAGTGCAAATTTCACATTAATTAATAGTAATGGTGTGTAACGTTTCAATTAAGGGCAGGATCAATGAGGGCAGTATGTGGGCTGTCTCCCATGATTTCCGCATTATCCGTGAACCCAAGCAAGCAAACCTCTCCTATTTATCTGCTACCTCGGTTTCCCCGAATTAGCGGCCAAACAAACATTAATAAAAATAATGTTGTCCAAAGAGACTGGAGGGTACCCATAGAAGCTCCATCACAGAAATGGTTATTACACATCGGAAACGCCTTCGAGCACAGAGACGAGCACACCGGGAAACTTCGTATTCAAGTCCAAGCTTCTGGCTGCTCTTATCGCTGGTTCAATTTCCAGAAAATGTTTGGTACGTAACAGTACATATTGGGCCTATTTGGAAATGGTGTCAAAATTTAGCGTTACCGTTTTGAAAAAATTATCTACAAGCAGTGTTTAGCGTTATCATTTTCAAAGTAATTTGCAATGTTAATAGTTTATTCAAAACGCTAACGCTAATTTCTAACGTTATTCCCAAACAGACTCTTTCTTTATTTTTAAAAAAACGTTAGTGTAATATGTTATGTTTGTTTATGTGTTTTTTATTTTTTTTGCAGGATATGATTGGCGGACTGGAAAATTAGATCCTTCAATGATGAACAGAGGAGAGGATGGTGAAGATAAACTCTTGCCTCATCTACTTCAGGTTAATTTTATTTTCATCCATATAAAATACTTCTTCGTCTTTAAAAGATTTACACGTTTCAAAAAAATTGCACCCCACAATCTCCTACCCATTTATATTAAAAAATCACTTTTACCTCTTACTTTTTCAAACCCTACCTATCATATCATACCTTTTTCCTAATAATCTACACATCACATCTTACTTTTACCCATCACATCAAAGTTATTTTTGGAAAGTCAACACAAAATTATCTCTCCCTTAATTTTAACTTTAGTCAAAACGTGTAAATCTTTTTGGGACGGAGGTAGTATTATGCTCGTGGTACAATATTTGATTTATATTCTCAATCGGCATATTAATTTCAATTATATTCATACAATTTAAACTTAAGTCATTTTCCAATATAGGACTTAAATTTTTTTATTTTCTAAATAGGACTTAATAATGACTAGTGATCTAAGAAGAATAATGTCTAAGTGATGCTGGACATTTAGTTGAATAATGACTAATAGATAATGACCAATGGTCTTACATTGGGAAATAAAAACATATGATTTTATATTGAGAAAGTCATTATGTTTTAGTCATATTTAGGTAAATTACCCCTTAAACTTAATTAAGGATGATGGTGTAGCAGGTGTCCATAACACTGGATGCAAATGGGGATTGCGACAATGTTTCAGTGAACGATTTGAATGAATGGGGAAGAGCCGCGGATTTCCCCGCGATTCATCCAGATTATTCAGGGAGGCAGAATAAGTACGTGTACGCGGCCACCTCATCCGGTTCTCGCCGTGCGTTGCCACATTTTCCTTTCGACACCTTGGTGAAGCTAAACACGGAAGATATGTCATCGGCGCAGACATGGTCTGCGGGGAGGAGACGGTTCATTGGCGAACCGGTCTTTGTCCCTAGAGGAAACAATGGTGGAAAAGTAGGGGTAAAAGTGGTTTTTTAATTGAAAGTGGAAGTGTTTAGTGGAAAGCAAAAAAAACGAAAGAGGAATAGTTTTGTGGAACGGAGGGAGTACTTTTTTATTTTTCAATCTAGTTTTTAACATCACAGTGCATATACTATTTCACACCTCCTATTTTCTATTCTATTATTTAATTTACTCTTCTGTATTTAAAAAAATACCTAAATAAAATAAAGTATGAAAACTATACCAAAATAAGATATCATACATTTTATTTTTTGAATAAGAGTATTAGTACTATTTCCCATTTAAAAACATTAGATATAATAAAGAATTAAACTATTTGTACGTCAAATGTTAAACTCTAATATAATAAAGAATTAAACTATTTGTACATCAAATGTACTTTCATTTTCTAATAGTGTAATTTATATCAATAATATTTTTTTATACTAGTATGATAATTAATACTTACACAAAATATTTATTACTCCGTAGTATTTTTCTTTATCATAACAATATTTTGTTTCCGTATAAATCATCAAAATGTGAGTAATAATTTTGGTGTATAATTTGAGATATATATATCTGAACTACTCCCTCCGTCCTAAAATTAATTTTTCATTTGACTTTTCACGGTCTCCAATGCCGCACTTTGACCATTAATATATCCATTTTTATATGAATATATATTATCAAAATAATATATTTCAAAACTATGTTTCAAAATGAATCTATTGATACTAAATTTATATGAAAATTCAATATATATTTTTCGTAATATGCAGTCAAAGTTTAAAAATTTTGACTGCAAAAGTCAAAATGAGAAATTAATTTTAGGACGGAGGGAGTACAAAAGTTGATGGGGCTGAAGTGGCGGGAAAAAGCCCTAATCTAGACCCGGGAAACTGTAATTGTCCGGAGCAGAAAAATCAAGAACCGCAAAGTTGGGAAACGGAAGCACGATGGCTGGTTCCGGCGAAGACTTCGCCCAGTTCGACATTTCCGTAGAGGTATGAATCGCCGCTCGAATCAATTCCGTGTTGGTGTGGGTTGTTTTTAACAGATTTGCGCGGCAGGAAAAGGACAAGCTGGTCGGAGAAGTGATACGCTATGTTTTGTTCAAGACCGAGCAGAGCTCCGGTTGTCCGATCAAGAGGGAGGAATTGACCCAACTGGTCACTGGGAAAAGCTATCGGCAGAGGAATCTCCCCGCTTTCATCATCAATGAAGCCAGGGATAAGCTCGAAGCCATTTTTGGCTACGAAATGAAGGAGCTCCAGCGCACCCGTGTCTCCGCCAACAATCGCCATTCCCAGCAAGGTTTCTATGATGCATTTGTAGAATTTCTGGATTTGGCCTTGCCCAAATTAATATTCCCCCATTTCTTTTGGCAGATAGTTTAAGAACAGTGAAATTGCGTGTTTGAAAGTGATGCAAAAAGAGAAAAAATAAGAGCAGAAGGGGGACTATTTTTTGGGACGTTCAAAAAAGAAAACGAGAACTATTAATTCCGAAAAAAGGGATTGTAAAGATTGAAACTTCTTTGCTTGTTATGATTTGTGTAGAGTAAAAAATTTGTTTGGACCTCCAACTACGAGTTTGAGTTTGTTGTTGAGCTAGTAAATTTGTCTTAGCAGGTTAAGTGTTAACTGAAACATTTTCTGAGAGAAAACTGAATAAATCCAATTCTAACTTTTGTTATATAAGGTTTAATTGTGTTTATTTGTTTCTCTATTAACCAGGGAAGTAATGCTCTTGAAGCACTTATTACTCTTTATACAATTGCTATGGATCTTCAGTAAAACAGCTTTGATTGTAAATCTAATTTTTTGAAACATGATTGTTACAGTTTCTGGTGATGCAAAATCATATATCCTCGTCAGTAAGTTACCCCCAAAAGCCTACAAGGAGTGTGTGGAGGATAAGAACAAATCACACTTTAACGGTTTTGCCTTTGTGGTGATTAGTATCATCTATCTTTCTGGAGGCAACATAGCGGAGGAAGATCTTTGGCGTCATTTGAGACGGTTGGGTTTGATGGAAACTGATGAAAACCATCCTGTTCTCGGTAACTTGAAAATGACATTGGAGTCACTTATTCAGCAAAGGTTAGTGTGTCTTTGTTATTGTGGTATATACTTACATTTAATTGGACTAGATTTATAGGCTTTGGCTTTGTGGCATGCAGATATTTGCACAAAGAGAAAGTCAATGGCCCTGAGGGTAATGCTATACATTATGAGCTTGCTGAAAGAGCTCTAGATGGGGATATTAATAATAGAATGAAAGAGCATATATCCAAGGTATGATTATTCCTTTTGTCAAGCTTTTGTTCACATCATTGTCCTTATTGGGAAACACGATGTAGAAATGTGTAGCCAAAAAATCTGTTCACAATAATGATCGTTACAGAAGCTCAAAAATATGCTCACATTGACTATACTTAGATTAAGTAAATGTGTTTTATCTTTAAAAGAAGTGTTTCAGGCAAGAAAATGAGTGTTGAAAATAGAATAGAGTCAATAGACATTTAATGTTAAATTCAAAGAGGGATATAAGAGATTTTATTAGAATCTTTAATATGTGCTCACTTTTTTAATATAACATTTTTCTGGCACCGAGTGAGTACAAGTGTAGGTTTAAGTCAATGTGTTTTTGAAAAGTTTATAGTTCACTTTTGACATTTGGAATGGAGGTTTTATCCTATAATGAGCTCTGTAAGATTGGTACTACTTTTGCATGATGAAAGAGTTGCACATTTGATCACATGTTTATTGATTTGTTCCTCTTTTATTGAGTTTGGCATGGCTTACAGTTCCCTAGAGAGGAATCCATATGTTTCCATTTAAATTATGCAAGCTCATAAGTGCTAGCCAGATTCTGATTGTTATGTAGATTATTGTTTGTAAACTAGGTGCTGGAAAAATGAAGCCAAACGGGCTTACAAGTGGTCATTTTCAAACTTAAATATTAAAGTGATCCAATAACGTTTTGGGCTGTTAAAATGGAAATGTCTTCTGCTAAGTAAGGCGAACGTTTTGATATGCTATACATCGAAAATGGTTGGCGGGTAAATGAGAAATTAATGTTCAAAGTAGACTCGTTGAGTGATAATTAGTGAAGCGAGGGGAGTTTCTAAAAAGGTGAGACATGTTTCCACATTGGGCAGCTAATTAAATGTGTTCAACTTGGAACAACACTAGCTAGTAACCTAGTTGTGTATGCCTTGTCAAATTTCAATCAAAGTAGGCATGATGTGAGTTGATCAGTTATTAAAATAGCATTCCCCAAGACTTGAGTAGTACTCGCATGTTAAGTTCTAAACATTCCAGCCTACTCTCCGGCTTAAGGGCTAGGTACCTCTAAGCGACTATTATCCACCCCCCCCCGCAATTGACCTGTCTGAACCCAGCTATGCTCATTCCACACAATCCACACGTAGATGTAATGCCCCCATCCATCTCCCTGTTCTCTTTAGAACATTGACTATTCTTTTATGTTAGTCGTAGTGATGGATGAATTGGGCCACATGATCGCGCTTGTTAAAAAGAAGGCTTTTAAAGGCAACCTGATGCCCCAAGAAGGGAAGAAAAGGGCTACTTGATGATCCAGGGAACAATTCAGTGCAATGGGGGTGCTCAGCCCATGTGCTTGGACTACACACTTGGCCGGTGATCACAGGCCTCGCGCTTCCTAATCTCTGTTGGGCCACCCGCGTTGGGCTTTGTCCAACATCCCATAGATAAAATCATATGATGACGTAGCGAGGTGTACATTGTGTTGAATCGAATCCTTTTAACAAACTTTGTAGTGAATCACTCATTCATCAAAGCAATTGGTCATAAGTAGGTGGAGATTAAATCATTTACTCATATCTTTGAGCCCGAAAGGTGATTACCAAAGACCTAGGGACCCCCACATTTTACCAGGGTAGCTCAGAGCGACACCGGTGAACCATTTTGGGTGCGGGGGCATGAGTGGTTGCATACTTGCATCATTGAGTGGTGTTAGAAGGTCAGACGATTAACCCTCGTCTGATTACATTCCCCCNATGCAAGTACTTATTTTGTGGCCATTCTGGTCAAAGAATGTATGGACGCAATCGAGCAAGGTGAAATCTGATTGCATTTAATGCTAAGAATTGCTTGTCTTTATGTCTTCTTGTCTCTTGAAGCTAATCCAACTGTTATTCCAGATTGTGCAAAAGGATATCGTATCTTTGGATGATGATTAGATATTCATGCTGGCCTGAACTGGTATTGTGTGTTTGGTAAGTGACCTATGAATCCTGTAATGCAACAAATACTATGTTTTTTGTTCTTTTGTTTCTCTTAGACTCATCATGGATTCAAAGTGAGTGATTGATGTACATATTATATTAACCTTGCCAAGTCCATGTGGTCATCTTTTGCGAAAAATCTCGTTCTCTCAAATTTGCCATATATCCATTCAAACTGTAAACAAAGAATGTGATTTCACGGAGCATATAAGAAGCGTGCTCTTCTCCATGAAGAGCATGCCGTTGAGGTGGGCTGAACCCCCGCCTCATCTTCTTCGTTGAAATTTTCAACTCTGGAAATAGAAACTGTGCATAGAGAATGGTGAATGAGTAGGAGAGAGTGAGGCCCTTGCTGACAAATGTGTGTGGAACATTTAATTTTGTTACCATTTTAAGTTACATTTTACATGTGGGCAGGGATCTCTATCTCCCCCAACAACCCCATTCTTCAATTAAGTTTATTGGCATTGTTTGATTGATCAGTTTCTTGTAAAATTATTGGAGGTGGATTCACATGGCCTTGTACCACAGCCCAGCCCACAGCCCTGACAAACCCAAATAAAAATTAAAAAAAATAAAAACTCTTTGGACCATTTTATTTCCAGTTCCGGCTTCTGAATCAACCAAACATCTATGTTGCTTTTTCTTGGTGTTTGGTTCTCATTGGAGGAATAGAATTACCTGATTGCATTAGCCCATTGGGGTGTGTGGGTGGGTCCCCTGTCTCTGAGCAAGTTTTTGTCAGTGCGGCTAACATGATTTTTGGTTGGAGTTTACCTATGATGTTCCCTTCCATCAGTTTCATATCAAACACAAAAATCCTTTCAATTCTTATCTCTCTCTCTCTGTCACTCTGGCTGGCTGCCCATCTTTTTTACACTTCTTGTGTTTCTTGAAACCAAAAGTTTTTGTCTTTGAACTTTGAAATATGAATGAATGAGTGGCTGCAGATCTCTTCCCAGTTGGTAGAATTATATAATTGCTGTTAAAAGAGAAAAAAGCAGGCATCCACCAAAATCCCAAAAGGAAATCCTGTCCTGTCCACTGTAAATTCATCAGGCCTGCCCACACACAGTCACTTCACTTGTCTTCGTCACATGGCCCTTTCCTTTTCCCTCTTTATTGTTTTTCACCGTTAATCCACCACTCCCACACTGTTCTTCCCTTCATTTACCACTTCCATTTGATAATAATAATAATAATAATAATAATAATAATTTGGAGGACCATATATTTGACACTAGTGTCTAACTGACACACTCAGAGAAGAAATGTCTTTGCGAGAACTGTGTGTGACATTATTATAGCGTCAAACGTGGTGTCAGATGTGGGGTTCACGTAACATGGTTCCCGTTTGTTACCTTTCTTCATTTTCATTCACACCTTTTTTTCGAACATCACACATGTTATCGAGATTGACACTAGTGTTATCAAATTTGGTGTATTAACTGAGGTCCAAACAGAATTATTTTCTTTTTTTGCTTATTTTGTCTGCCGATTATGTTTTTATTTTCTTTTTGGGAATGTTTTGAAATTATGTTCTTGTTCCATTTTGAGGGAAAATTGTGGCCTGCATTGTTATACTTTTTCTCCTGTGTACAAATGTATTCTTATACTTTCTATAATTTTTAGTTGACTGTTATAATTTTTCTGATACGTTGAAAGATGAATGGATGACATACTTTATATTTGCATACATTTGTTTCTGAATGGATAAACAAAGTTATAATTGTTGGTTATATAAGAATATAGTAGAATAATCTAATCTGTACTTTTGTTACATTCAGTGAATGTATCATTGGTTTGAACAAAGTTTTGCTTAATGACAATGTTTCCCTATGATGTGTCGTGGTAAGGGTCCATTATAATAAATGAAAGCACAACCAAACAATAAAAAAACAGAAAATTAGATATCAAATCATTAGAGTAATTAATATTAATCAATGCTCGATCGTTTCCTTCTCAAATTGAAGGAAACCATTTGTTTGCTTGAGATGCCCAACCTTCCTTTTTTCAGTGTAGCATTTGGTTGTTGGCCTTAATTAATCATGTACGGAGTAGTTGCAAAATTGGGGAGAATGGTTCCACAAATTCTACATTCATATTTGTATATACACTTAATTTTATGAAATATTTGTACTAAATAGCATTAAAACTTGAATAATGCTATTTTCTTAAATAGCACTTAAATTGTTTTATTCTCTAAATAGTACTTAATAATGTCCATAATGTCCAGTGATGGTGAATATTTACTTGAATAATGACTAATGCATAATGACTAAAAGTGCTACAATGGGAAGAAAAACATGATGTTATTTAAGAAAAATCATTATATTTTAGTGCTAATTTTATACTCGCACTGTTTGTGTTTCGAGAAAAAAATCCAAATAAAACACTCAGCGTGTTCTTTTATCGCAACAATAGTTGCCGCTAGCGGTAAGCAATTACCGTATTGATTTTGAATTTTTTGGAAATTACCGAAAAAAACTAAATCGAAAAATACCGAACCAAAAAAAATCTAAAAAACCCAAACCGATACAAAACAAACAATCGGTTTGGTATTTGGAAGTGGAATGAGATAACAATTCATATCGAAAATTATAAACTGAATATATATACGAGTATAAATATATAAATTTATTTATAATTTTTATTGAGTAATATGTTTATTTTAAAAATTCGATTCAAGTTTTATTATGTGTGAAGTGTACTTTTTTTTTAATTTTAGTTATTATTTTTAAGTTTTTTTATGCTTCTTTATTTAAATGCACTTTCAATTTTTAAGAAACAAAATATAAATTAGATACATACGCATTTAATTAAATTATCTTGATTTGTACAGAGACTGATACCGAATCATCATGAATCGATATTTTAGGATGAGGATGAGCACATCTACGACCTATATCTCGTCTCATACCTTACTATGCTCACTCTTAATTGCCGCTAACAATGCACCAGTGAATCTCAAGGCGGGGAAGGAAACAAATCAAATCAAGAAATCGAGTACTTAACACTTGTTTGGTGAGCTAAACCAGTGTGCATTTTGATATCTTCGTTATCAAGCTTCTTAAATTATTATTTGGTAATTTAATAAAATAATTACTAAATTCAGTGATATATATATGTGGAAATTCTCCCAATAACACGCTTATTGATATCTCCTCTAATTATATGCTATCAAAGATTAAATCCACATAGTGATATGGAAATTCTCTCAATCCCTTTATTTCTTCTCTCTCCAAAGTCTCTCTCACTCTCCAACGTTGGCTCTGTCGCTAGCGTGGTGGTGGAGGTGCTGCTTACCCGGTCCTCTCTTAATCGGCACGGACGGGTACCCTAGGAATGGGGTATCCAATCTAAGAAAAAAAAATCACGAAGATCAAAGACGGGGACCATGCCAACGCGAGGTGATCGGCTAAGCAGAACTACAAATGGTTGAGCATCAATATTTAAGTACTCATATTTGTTTTAAGCGGACGACCCGGCCAGTTGGGTCAGTCCAAAAGATGTAGAGATTTTGGAACGGACTTATGCAAATATGATATCTTTTTAATAAAATTTTGTTAAGAATCGAATTCGAATCTATTCTTAGGTTGCAGACCATATCATGCCAGTAGAGTTATGTTCATTGTCAGAAGAGTGGGTCCCCTGCGTTCTGCTTAATTACTCACTCCAACAATATATGAACAAGTAAACATCTCCGTACATTCGGAGTCAACGTCCGTGTCAGTCGTCTTATGACAGCGCGTCGGGTGAAATGATGAAGCAAACGCGTGAAAGTCAGCATTTCCCCATTCAGGTTTTATTTTCTGCAGTGCACAAAATATCCTGTTGCAAATATCGAATCCTGCGCTGTGTGTGGGTGTTCTTCCCCTGTGTGCTAGCCCACTTGCGCTATTGTGTTCCACCACATTTGATCCGCAATCTATATACATTTAGAGGCTGTTTGACAACTTCTGAATAGGTAACTACTGAACCAGTAAGAGGTCTGAACCATTAAGAGCTAGTATATTGCTTAATTATTCAGAGGCAAATGTCTGATCAATTCAGATAAAAGGTCTTAACCATTCAGACTCTGTATAATACTAACCATTAAGATGCTGAAACAAACAGCCCTTAGATGAAGTAAGTGACTCGTGGATGTTGAGTAGTTGGTAAAGGCAAAGAGATTCAATGAGATAAAATTCGAATTTGAATCCTTACAAATGCACTAGAAGACCATTATACTAAGCATAGAACTTCTACAAACTAGGTTGCACTGAGACGAATGCGGGTGTATAAATGGGTACGGAGGCAGGGACGGAAAACGACATTTTAAAAAATTATAGGATGCAGGGATTGCCAAGAATACCACAACAAAAAAAATAGAATGCAAAATATAGAGCTGTAAATGTAAAAAAAAAAGCTTAATTTACATATATGTATCCATCCACATATATGATATGACAAAATGGTGAATAATTGAATACTTTTACTCTATATGCCTAAGAAGTAAAGTGTTATTTTGACTTTTTTAGTCAAATAACGTAACAACATTCTTATCACAAAATAAATATAGCTTTAAATAAACAAATATCATAAAAATTACGTAATAAATTAAAACTACTTAAAAATGAACTTAATTATATCCTATTCATAATAATACTAAATATACAGAGTATGTTTTTCACAAGTAAAGCTTTAATAAACAAATCTTTTAAACCGGCAATACCTCAAGCCTAAACCTTACCGATATTGAATCACAAGACTCACCACCATTCCATTCTCTTTCCACCGATCACCTTGCCGCACAAACAAATCCATATTGGTTCGTGGAAAGTTCGCCACCAATTGTCAAGGTCTCTTTGGCCATAATTCACTCCCGTCATCCTTACATGGATGTTTCTTCTCAATGAAAAATATGACTTAGGAAGAAAGCATCCAATAAGGGTTGTTTTGCCACATTTTCTTCAAGGCGAAACTTTTTTCAAGAATGAGGATGATTTCATCGTCAAGGATGTTCGAAAAGAATGACGTTCGTACTGTTCATTTGAATTCGGTGAAGGTTTGAAAAGAATGGCATTCTTTTACTCAATTGATTATTCAACGGATTTCAAAAGAGTTGTGTCTCCCTAAAAGATGAAGAAAATGTATTTGTTGAAGTGTGCAGATGACATTTAAACAAAAATCTTTTCATGATACATTGTCCAAGCGAGGTACTCGTAATATCCGCACTCCAACTTGAGGGGGGGGGGGGAGTGGTGTTCTAAGAGAGAGACGTATAAAATGGAATTGAATCCCTTTGGTAGGAATATATATAAGTTTAATTATTTGTTTTACCATTTTCTCCTATATAAAAAGGGTTAGACTTTTATATTCTGTAAGCCAATTTAATATGCGAAATATTTTCTCCCATTATTATTTTCTACGAACAAGTTCACCTTTTTATTGTGATGTCGCAAAAACTAGACTCTTTATTTTTTGTTTTTTCATGAGTTCTTGATCTTTCTTTCAAATAAATTGTATTCACTCATCATTCATTGTGATGACTAGATTAATATTGAATAAATATGATGTGATATATACATATGCAAGAAGTTGACATCGTGCCGGAAGCTGACATCATATTCACGAGAAGAGGCATCGATGATGTGTTGAGGAATCACCGAACGATGATGACGATGAAAGAGAGGAAGGTGTGTCAAAGAACGGCGACATTGTAAGCCTGTCATGCGTCATCACACAATCGAGAGAAGAGAACGGGTGAGGAGAACCCTAATAAAGTCTGATACCATTGAATAATAGAATAATTGTACTCCCTTTGTCCCAAAAAGAATGGGACAGTTTGACTTTTTGGGAAATTAAGGGAGAGATATTTTGGTATTGACTTTCCAAAAATACCCTTGATGTGATGGGACGGAGGGAGTATATCTTAAGAGAATATTGAAGATACTTTTAGTGGATGTTCCATGCCTTAGATGGGGTGAATAAAGTGTTTAAAAACTTTTTTAGAGTTTAATAAAATTGGTGCCGGCAAATGCAGAAGTAAAGAAAATAACGCAAAGTAAAAAACGTATAGTAAGAACACGCCAATTTATACATGTTCGAGAAATTTCTACTCCAGCACCTTAAGACTACTCCTTAAGGATTTCTAAATTCACTAAGTCCCGGTCTCTTGAATCCAACAAAACACTGCAGTAGTTTGACAAACAACTCTTGCCAATATGATTCACTTTGAGATTTTACAACGCCTATCTCGAACTGTTTACAACGAAGATTTGTAGGCTATGTTTTACCTTTACTCTAAGGATTTTTTAAGACTATCCTCGAACCTTGTACCCAAATATTTCTCGACTATTTTTAACCATCTATACAAACATTTATACGGGTATCCTTGACTGTTACCATGAGTGAAAGATGTGCCTAAGAATACAAAAAAATGTTCAACACCTTTTGTCTAATGATTATATCCATGCAGGTGAAGAACGAAAATTATATTCTCTAAAACAATACTAGATCAATCTTATGAATATGAGAGTATATACGTATAATCACAAAAACTCAATGTGTGTGTATAAAAGCAAGATAAAAAACAAGGCTCTAAGAAGCAAAAATATGAAGATTAAAGAACAAAAAAATGAACACATTTTGAATATGAAGATGGGAGATTAGAGCTTGGGTTAATGTGAAAATATGAAGGATTAAAACCATATTTATGGTGTGAAATATTAAGTGTCCGTTTATAGCAGTTGGGGATCAATTACTAGAAATTTTGGCCAATTAAATGTGATTAGATATGAAATTAGGATTTTGAAAAATATGTCCGTTGGAACCATACTTGGGTCCTGAACTAATGGTAGTGGGGTACTGGCTTACGGCAGTTGGGTACCGGTTGATTGGTAGCAAGGTACCAGATCTGAAAAGAACTTTGTGGCGATCTCTACTTAAAACGATAGTGGGCTACTGGGTTATGTTACCGAGGTACTATTAGACGATACTGAGGTACCGGATCATGTATCAGGCCACTGAGATGTTTTTTTCTTCTTTAGCTTAATCCTTTGTTTGAGTTTAAAATATTTTGGACATTTAAAAAAATATTTATAGAAAAATTTTAAACATGTTATGTGAGTGCATTTTGAGCTCTCTTGAATATAGGTATATAAAATCATTCTTACAATATGTTCTACCTATATTTTACGCTAGCTTGGTGTTTCAACTCCGTATAATGAATGTAACTAACTTGCTTATAGAGAGTAAATTTGAGCCCGTCCCAATATACCCTTTAAAAAAAGAGTCAATTATTCGATGATCCTGTTTCTTTTTGAAATATTTGCAGAAAATAGCATTAAAACTTAAGTCATTTCTCTAAATAGCACTTAAATTGTTTTATTCCCTAAATAGCACTTAATAATGTTCATAATGACCAGTGATGAGAAACATTTACTTGAATAATGACTAATGAATAATGACTAAAAGTGCTACATTGAGAAAAAAACATATGTAGTGCTATTTAGGAAAAGTCATTATGTTTTAGTGTACATAAATTCCTCTTTCTTTTTCTCTATCTCTTTGCACCAAGCCCTAGGGGTCTTTTTCTTCCTTTTGATTGACATTGAATGAATGAATGAATTGTAATTCCATGGTGGGGTGCGTTTAGAAGGAAAAACAGAGAATCAATTTAATAAAGGAGGAGATGACGAAATACCAAAAAAAAACATATAAATAATACAGAGTCAATTCGATCGATCACATGCATGCATGCAATATGGGATATTAATTGATAAAGAATTGAAGGGTCCTGATTTAAATTATTGAAATAAAAATAATTAATCAAGCACGTTTTTTGTTTATTCGGCCAATGCTAAAGTACGTACGTGCAAATCTGCAGCATGCAGGAAGGCAGAGAAGCAATGGAACTTCTAATTTGTATTCGGCCAGCGCGCACAAATTAAACAAATCTTTATGTTCGATCGGAGTATAATTAGGTACTCCGTACAACTCAATATCTTGACTTTCTTATTTTATTTATTTTTATATTTTTTATATAATAAAAGCAATACTTCCTATAATTAATAATAAAAGAAAATTGTTACTCTCAGTCCTAAATAAATTTTTATTTTCACTTTTCATCCATCATATTACAAAAAGAATACTTTCATTTTTAATTTAAATTTTTCTTTTTCTTCTTAATTATTACATATCTATATATCATATCTTATTTATTCACTATTAATCTATCATATTTATCGCATTTTATCCTACCGGACTTTAAAGTTATGGTAAAAGAGGAAAATTCCTTACACATCGTAAAGTTACTAGTACTAATTTATCATACTTACTACTCCCTCCGTCCTAATTCTTTCTTCACAGTTTGATTTTTTCTCATTTTTAATTTTTGGCTTCGACTTCAAATTTTACCCTCCTTAAAAAATATTTTTTGAATTTTTTCTATGTCCCCAAATAAACTTTTTTTTTCCCTTAAAAAACCAATTTTACTCCTTACTTTTTCATACCCTACCTATCACATCATACCTTTTTACTAATAATCTACATATCACATCTTACTTTTACACATCACATCAAATAGTGAAGTAGACTTTATCTCGAAACATCGTTTTGATTAACAAACATTAATCAGCGAATAAAATTTTTGATAGTGTTATTTAATTTTGAAAATGCTAACAATAAAGACTACTGTTTGGACAATATTTTCATAAGATTATTATGAAACGCTAACGTTATTGCTAAACGAAGCCAAAATCAAAGTTGTTTCCCGAAAGAAAAGGTAGCACAACCACAAGACTAACGGTTCCCAAAAATTACTCCTTCGTTTGTGCATTCATGGATGGTAGCCAGTACCTCCATAATATTAATCCTAACAAATATGTACTTTTGCTTCGCTTTTTAAGTTTTTATCGAAGTCAAACCATATATCCATGCATTTCTGGCTGATAATATTAACGACATCAAATACCTTTATGGCGTTATCAAGAATAATAATCATTAAAGTGGCCCCTCCCTCTAGAAATGATTTAATTTATCTTGGTCAAAATTTGTATATTTATTTTGGTGACAAACAGAAGAGTGACAATTGTTTATATTGGAAGAACATTGTGCATAATAAGAAATGGTTTGAGCAGATGCCTAGCTAGATCCTGTGAGTATACTATAGAGGGGGGTTATTCATGCATGGCTACTTAGACTGAAGAGCAAAACTGAGTGGTACTCTTTTGTGTGGAACAAGCTTTCTATCCCCAAGCTAAGCATCAAGTTCTCCTTTGGCTCATCTGTAAAGAGAGAGAGAGTGAGTACCAAAACAAGAATTGGAAAGTTTATGAATATTGACAAAATATGTGAAGTGTGCAGTCAGACACAGGAATACATTGACCATCTCTTTAGTCAATGTCAGGCTCTTATTCTAGCCGCTATCCTCCCACAACTACTTCTGCCGACTCCAGTTCAATACCCGTGCTCCAAGCAGTTCTTCATTATCGATGATCAGCTTGTGGGGTATAATAAGAAGCAAATATTAGTATTATTAATTACTTTTCTTATTATATTACTTTTATAATCATTATTCAACTGTGATTAAGATTCTCTTTTAATTTGTATTTCCATTATACATGGAGGCAATATTTATTATTCAATAAGATTATTTATTATCATCAAATTGTACCAATTGATCTAATTGAATGTCTAATTCAACGATACTGAGGGGGAGATTGGAACACAAGTACTGGAACGGGGCTCCCGAAAGTAGTTTTTCTAAGAATGTTTGCTAATTGTTCGAAAGTAGAAATAGATGTAGATCTTTGTGTATGACAAATGAACTTTTGAGTACGTTTGTTGAGTTTTTCCAAGAAGAGTGTTGGCGATTGGAGCGAGGACGAAGAGTTTTTTTTCTCCTTTTGGGCCATTTTTTACTTCTCTATCAGTTTTCGTACTCCCCAACACTCGAAAATACAAACAAATGTAGTTTTCCAAATCTTTGATCACGCACACAATTACTTCTTTTGAGAGAAAGAGGGAACAAAAGGAAAATAGTTATTGGGCACACTTATAATATTTGGGGAGAAAGAGTGAGATTAGGGACATTGATGTCATGATATGTGCCCGGCCACCGATGGTGCATGGTCGAAAATGGAGTCTAGATTTTTGATAATCTTAGAGCACTGGAAATGCTTTAACTTACACAAAAAATTCACTGCAAATGGTTATGAAGCCCCAGTACTTCAAACTGAGGCTTCAAACCTTCATTTTTTACATTTTTAAATATACATCTTCTAAATTTAAATTAATAAATTTAAATTAATTTATTATTTAAATTAATCGCAATGAGACTAGTGCATTAAAAAATTACATTCATTAAAAAAAATCTTACATTCATAAAAAAACATTCAGAAAAAAAATTACATTCATTAAAAAAAATATTACATAAAAAAACAACAGTACAAAGAAATCACTATATATTCGAACGACTAAAGATATGTTCGATCAAATCCGCCGTTAGTGCATTGTGAATCTCTCGGCTTCGAATTTCTTGGTGGTTGCGTCGTTTCTTTACTTCGGTGATTTCTTCGTACATAGGCACCTCCTCGTCCGGGTTGTATTGACAAATCGCAGTCCCGTTATCCTCTATGATCATATTATGAAGAATAATACATGCGTACATAATATGGGGAAATTAACTAAATAACACTAAAACATAATGAATTTCCCTAAATAGCACTACATATGTTTTTTTCCTCAATGTAGCACTTTTAGTCATTATCCATTAGTCATTATTTAAGTGAATGTTTGCCATCACTGGTCATTATGGACATTATAGAGTACTATTTAGGGAAGAAAACAATCTAAGTGCTATTTAGAGAAATGACTTAAGTCTTAGTGCTATTTAGTGCAAATATTTCTACATAATATTCCTCATTTTTGTTTGAGAATAACATTCCGACGGACGATCTAGAATGTGTCATTTACTCTTCAAGACCCCAAATGCTCGTTCAATATCTTTTCTCGCCGCCTCTTGAGCTTTTTTGTAGGTCTGGCGTTTAAGACCCATTGGTTCGGAGAGGGATTTGACAATCATGGAATATTCTGGATATATTCCATCGGCCAAATAATATCCACGCTTGTAAAGCGTGCATCTAAGCTCAAAAGAGGAGTCCAGTGCAGTCTCATTAACCTAATCGTCAAAAACAGGCGATTGATTGAGAATGTTGATGTCGTTGTTCGAGCTCGCGACACCGAAAAAAGCATGCCAAATCCACAAGTCATTCGAAGCAACAACTTCGAGCATGATGGTAGGCTTGGGATGATCTCCCCGGGAGAATTAACCATGCCACGCAGTGGGACAATTTTTTCATTCCCAATGCGTGCAATCAATACTCTCAAGCATGCCGACAAAGCCGTGTTTAGCGGCATGCCTTGCCTGCAACTGCTGGATGTCGCTCGCTGTAGGCTTGCGTAAATATCTTTTATGATAAATTTGAATAATAGCTTTTGAAAATTTATAAACACAGGACCTGATGCTCCGAGCCGACATCTTCAAGTATTCGTCGAACATATCGGATGTCGGCCCGTACGCCAACTGACAGAGCGCGGTAGTGCACTTCTGGACGCTACTAAACCTGAGTCGGCCTCTCGCATCAAACCGTTGGGTGAACCAAGGAACCTCGCGTTCAACATCGGCGAGTATGCGTAAGAAGAGAGGACGACTCATCCTAAAACGATTACTAAAATCCTTCGGTGTATAAACACACGGATTATTAAAGTAGTCGTTTAGAAGTGAAGCGTGGGCGGCCACTCGATCCCGGTTTAGACGTTGGCGTCGGGTCTGTTGTCGGGAGGATTCGGCTTCTTCTTGGCCATCTTCCCACCATTGAATACAATTCGTCGCGAAACAACGAAAAAAGAAAGCTCTTCTTTCATCGTCGGAAGATGAACCCATTTTTAAAATATATTTTATAAATATTTATAATAAATAATAAATATTTTAGAGAGAATATAAAGAGAGATGTGTGAGAGAGATGTATGAGAAAGGGGATTTTATAGGTTTTTTTTTAAATTTAGATTTTTTTTAATGGGGGGGGGGGGTAACGACTATATAGCCGTTGGAAAAGGAGGGGGAGCGGTTGAAAAAACAAAGCAACGCCGCATCAAACGAATGACACAGGTATACTCACGCCCCGTTAACGCCAGAGGGGGGCGGTGTTTCACACCCCCGGGGCGTTAAACGCTTCTTAACGCCGACGGGCGTGAGGAGTATACCCAGTGGCCTTAGCTCTGATACCACAAAAATACGAGTTACAAAAATAGTTTGTGCATATTTATGAGTTACCGAAACTCCTAATTAAAAAATAGTGCATGATTATAGTCTTGGGATAATAACAAAGTGAAATTTGCAGTGAATAGAACTAAAACATAAGTCATTTCTCAATGTAGAACTTAAACTTTTTTATTTCCTAAATAAGACTTAATAATGACTAGTGAGAAGAATAATGTCTAAGTGATACTGGACATTTAGTTGAATAATGATTAATAGTTAATGACCAAAGGTCTTACATTGGAAAATAAAAACATATGATCTTATATTGAGAAAGTCATTATGTTTTAGTCCTATTTAGGTAAATTACTCAATTACAAATTATGTTGTGTATTGTGTCTTACAAAAATGAACTAAAGAAAAATAAATATTTTACTTATTTCATACTACGTAAATAATAATTGAGCTACTACTATACATTATTAAAACCAATTTTGAATAAAAAAGAGTTTACTATCCTAAAAACATACTCCATCCATTTTTTTCATTCCAAAAGTTTTTACAAACATCCATTCATTCTTTTATTGTTTGTCCCAAATCAATATTTTCTCTCTCTTATATATATCTTTCTTCTTATTTTTTATATGATCTTAAGAGCACTGGAAATACGTTTGAAGCCCCGGGGTTTCAAAATTTCTCTCTCTGCCATGTCAGTTTTAACTTAATTCACAGATTCACTAGAAATGGGTTTGAAGCCCCGGGGCTTCAAACTGGGCTTCAAACCTTCAGTTTTTACATTTTTAAATATACATGTTCTAAAACTAAATTAATAAAATGTAATTAATTTATTATTTAATTATATTGAAACACGAATAATAAAAAAATACATTCATTAAATTTAAAGAAATTGAAATGACAATAATTTAAAATTTAAAAAATTACATTCATTAAAATAAAAAAACGACAATAAAAAGGTCGGTTTCCATGATTTTAATCTCGTCCTTTTGCTCCTTTCGCTCCATCTCCTTCTCCTTTAGCTTCTTCCTCTCTTCTTCTCGAAGATTGAACACCTTAAGTTGTTCAACCATTGCCCGACCGATTTCATCGCGAGAAGAAAAAGAAACAGAGACGGACCCTCCCGATGTTGTTCAACCTTTAGCTTCATCCTCTCTGAGGTACATTTTTTGGTATGAGTGTAGCATGGTTGAAAAAAATAAAGAGTACATTTTTTGAGGGATAAAGCTATTTGTACTTCAAGGGGTTGTACCCCATTTGTATATCGTAAGTGTACACCAATATTTTGTGTTGGTGTAATGTTATTTTTTGTTAATGCACCAACATTTTGTGTAAGTTTAAATTTTTGTTAACGCTCTTTGTGAAACAAATTTTGATGTAAGTGTAGCATGATCCTTTTTTGAGATATAGAAAGGGGTAGATGTGTAAATGTGTAACCATGCCGAGTCAGAGCTGCTAGCGCTAGCGGTAGTGTTTGAAAATAAATAAAGGGTGCAGCTTTTCTACTCCATAAAATCTTCTTCCCCTTAAAGCTGACAGATTTCCTCTCCCTCCCCATTTTTCCCTTCTCTTTTTCCTCCCAACCGTTTATTCCTCTCTTTTTCCATTTACCGCTATTTATTCTTCTTTTTTTTACTCTGCAAACTCAGTCGCAGTAACTCTCTTTTTCTCCTTATTTTTACCTTTGACTGTGCTCGATCTCGCGCGTTGCCAGAGAGACAGGTGCAATAATGTTGGACTACGAATGGGGAACCCAGTCGTCGGCGACGGCCATGTTTCCCGGAGAAGATACCTCCGCCCAGAACCGCCATTTCTTCGACCTCTACGCCACCCAAGCGAACTTCAACGAAGACGCGGCGGGCGGGCCGGGCTTAGTCGGCGGCCATAACGGCCATTTCTCCGCCGAGGACCACCTGCAGCTGTTCCACCACCCTGCCGGAGACGGCGGCCAGGAGACCAACCACATGTGCTCTCTCTACGACCCACGCGCCTACGGGGGCGCGTCTTTCGCGCAGGCTTCCCATCATCATCAGGTTGTTCCCATGCTTTCCCTCGAGCCGGGGGCGGCGGCGGGGTTCGTGGTGGTCCCGAAGAGCGAGCCTCTGGGCATCAGCGGCGGCGCCGACTTCTCCGGCGCCAACCTGGGGCTCAACTTGGGAGGCAGGACATACTTCTCGTCCACCGAGGATGATTTCGTGAACCGGCTGTACCGCCGGTCCAGGGTGGTGGATGCCACTTCGTTCAACGCCCCGAGGTGCCAAGCCGAGGGCTGCACCGCTGACCTCACCCTCGCCAAGCACTACCACCGCCGCCACAAGGTGTGCGATTTCCACTCCAAAGCCGCCACCGTCCTCGCCGCCGGTTTGACCCAACGGTTCTGCCAACAGTGTAGCAGGTCTGTTGTCCATCTCTATTACTCATTCTATCCGTCACAAAATATATTTCCCATATTATTTTATAAATGTAAAATTCAAAAATTAAAATTTTAGAATTAAGTAAATTCGTAACATGTAAGTGAATCTTTAGAGACAAATTCTTTTTTTTATAAAAATAATCTTTAAAACGTGATTATAATTTTTTGGTCTTTTTGGAGTCAGCTATAATTATTTAATGGCGGGTGAGTATTGGATAATTAAAATATTCGGGGTACACCAAATTATATCTCAATTTGTACATATTTTTTGGTATGAATAAAAAAAAATTAAGGAGTAAGATAACAAATGTGGATAAGAAGATATGCGGTTCAAAAGTGGTTTGATTTTGGGAATGAAGGACTGTGTAACAAAGACTAGATAACGGAAAAGATGGAATAGGACGGAAATATCCTCGGGGAGATAGGTAATGATTGGGGAGTTGGGGGGGAGATCCCGAGGGCATTTGAGTCCGTAAAATTGTGTCTCCCGACACGACCCCGTTCCGCGAATTCCCCGTACGCACTCCTTAAACATTCATTTTTTTGCTTTTTATAGTAAAACAGCGTTTCCTATTTGTGTGTGAGAGAGTGTCTTTGTCTGATCTGAGAATCTCATCTGTCTTTAAGTTCATCAACATAAAAAGACTAAGTCGGACGGTCCATTTTTAATTGGCTGAGGTTTAATTATATATTCGTCCAAACAAATTTATTTTAATAAATCACATTCATTTTGTCTTTTTCTTACCCAATCAATCAAAATGAATGGCTGAGCAGATTCCACGTCCTGACGGAGTTCGACAACGGCAAAAGGAGTTGCCGCCGGAGATTGGCCGACCACAACCGGCGGAGGAGGAAAGTTCCCCAACCAAACCACCAGGAAAATAGCGCCAACACCACCTCTCACCAACAGGCTGCTGATACTAACAACGCCGCCGCCCACAATTCACCGTCGTCCGACAGCCTTCCAAGTCAGACTCTAATGTTAAATAAAGACAGCCTTATTTAATGTAAATTCGTTTTGATTGAGATTAAACGTTTGGTACAATAATTATAGGGTCTCCGCCGCAGCCGCCGCCGCGGGACTCATCAGGATCGTCGGTGACAGTGGGGGCATCACCGCCGAGGATGTCAATCGATTGCTTTGGACAAAGATCGTACGGCTACCAGTTGGCGCCGGCAGCTCAACCTCCTCCTCCTCCTCCTCCTCCTCACATGGCTCATGATTTTAGCTACATGTAATATAATAATTGGGCATGTTAATTAGTAACTTGGAATTGAATTAGCCTGCCTGCATGCTAATCATTATCTACCTAGCTAGCTGCTAGTAATTATTCAATAATTATATATATTAAAATCCGTTTATGTATCCTAGCTAGCTCTCAATTCAAGCCATTTATGTATCCTAGCTAGCTCTCAATTCAAGCCATTTATGGAATTGAACCACAGTTTTCTTTTTTTTGAGTAATTACGTAGTATGATGTCTATTACTTCCACACTCTCATAAAAAATTTTCAAAGACAAAATAAACGCACCCTAAATATGTGTAATTGATTATTGATACTTCAATTCCTCTCTTAAATTGGATGACAATTATTTAATTGGGACCAACCTAACTCCCAAGAACTTGTATTTGCTCATGTATTTTCAATAACTATTTAATGAAATAAAATATATAGCCAAATAGCTTCAGTGTCCTCTGGCCTGTGGTTTAATTTAGAAAATTGTCATCAATACTCTTGTTTTCGAAACTAATTTTTAAAATCTATGTGATTTTAAAACGTTGCACTCTCATTCCTTCCGACCATTTTCCGACGAAGAGCGGCATTGGTTCTTATTTTCTAGCCAATAGGCACACACGTTCATTTCTTATTTTTCGTGTTTTACTTTGTTTTTTTCCTTTTTTAACTTTTTGTCTCTTTGTTTCCCTTTCTTAATTTTTTTTAAAATTTTTTATAATGTTTTTAAAATTTTCAAATTCTGTGTTTGAAATAAAAATAAGAAAATTAACATATACTCCATCTATCTCAAATTAAACATTTTAATCTTTTTTCAGTAGTAATGTTTCTGGTAAGTTTAATAAGAAAATCAAAAATAAAAAATATGAAAAAATGAAATGAAAAAATTGAAACATCTAAAAAAGAGTCTCATACAAAAAGAAATTTTCAAAATGCCTAAAAAAGTCCTTAGAATTGGATTGTTCAACAAAGGTATTCATTTTTACTTTTTGTTCTATTGCATTTCTTATTTTATTCCTCATTTTCCGAAGTTCTCAAAACAAGTTTTTAATTTTCTACATTAGAAACAAAAAACTAAAATTATTAATATAAAACGTAGAGATGCAGTATATGTTAATTTTTTCAGAAAAAAATTTAATATTTTAAGAACATTATAAAAACAATTTTAACAAAAAACCTTAAAAAATTTTTATTAATAAAAGAAACAAAAAAGGGGAAAAAAATAAATGAAAATTAAGAATGAGCACCAGTGCCCCCTTTATTGTTTGGAAAATAGGCACCAATTCCCCTTTCTTCACCAGAAATATGGCCGGAAAATGATCATAGAGATATGATCAGAGGACATATTTTCCAAACCAAAGTGGGTGCTGGTGTCATTTGGCTCTCTTTTAGTAGAACTTTCGATGTAATTTTTTAATATATAAATTTATCAACTATCCTTATATTGATTTTTTGAAATGATTTTAGGAAGAGGCATGATTTTATCTCGTGAATGACATTTTTTAATCCAAAGTGGGATGGAGCGAGTATTATTTTTTAACTTTGCTCTTATTTTATTATAAGTTAGGATATGATAGATGAGTCATAATTAGAAAATAACATCAAAATAACCTTTTTGTAGGTGTGTTTATTTTCTAATTTGAAAAGTTTAATAAAACGGAAGAAGTATTTTATATTGTGATTAATCTATGTCTTGTTTTATGTGTACCCCAATGCATAAATCCATAAGAAATGGACTCCCTCTGTTCTAAAATGATTTACCTTTTTGTTATTGTGCTCTTCGATAATTTTATTGGTTTGCATGCTTGCATTGACCATTTGATTAAACAAAATATGCCAGATTACCTAACATCTTTTGTTTGTAAAAGTTTTAACATAATTTTTAAATATATAATATTTTTTCTATTTGTATACCAATTTATAAATCAAATATTTTTAAAAATCCAAGATTTAAATGTTAAACGGACAATGTAATTAATTAAGGGATGATGGAAGTATAGGTGGACGACGTCACAATTTTCACGGTCACAAGACTCATCGCAACATATACTGCGCAACAATTTCCATGTGATACACACACACCATTAATGCATCCAACAAACTCCTCCCCTAGTTTAATTTGAGCAGTAGAAAGTCTATTTTCCAAAATTTAAATAAAGGTATTGACTATATGAATAAATACTAATTGAGTCAATTATGCTAAAAAGATATATTAATGCAAACAACCGAAAAATTACCATTAATAATAATTGATTCCTATTTCTATATTCTCGTTCTTTCTTTTTTCTTTTTAGACGCCACCAAATAAAATTAAATTGGGTGATTTACTTAAATATGACTAAAACATAATGACTTTCTCAATATAAGACCATGTGTTTTTATTTTCCAATGTAGGATCATTGATCATTATTTATTAGTCATTATTCAATTAAATGTCCAATATCACTTAGACATTATTCTTCTCACTAGTCATTATTAAGTCTTATTTAGGGAATAAAAAAGTGTAAGTCCTACAATGAGAGATAACTTATGTTTTAGTCTTATTCAGTGCAAATTTCACAATAAAATTTGATTTCATTCTAAACGAATACTCCGTAGTTATGTACGTAATTTTTTTTGTCTACCTCTCTACTTAGTTTCCATAAATTTTGTTTTTTACCTTAATTTAATTTGCATGATTTTCTCGACAACTAATATTTAGACTTTCCACACTTGCCCTTGAGTAAATGAAAAAATGAAATAAAATTAGAGATTAGTGTTAGCGTTTTAAAAATCTATCCAGGGACAACGTTTGGCGTTAACATTTTCAAAGTAATCTGCATCGTTGAATTTTTATCCAAAATGTTAACGCCAATCTCTAACACTATTTTCAAATAGGCCCTTTAAATACTCCCGCCGGTTATGAAAATCTTTCATGTTTTGAATTTTTTGTCAAAGAGTGACAGTGTGACACAATTTGACAATAAAAATATATTTGATATAATTTGGTTCATTTTAAGATATAGTTTCGATATATCAAATTTTTATATCATTTGTTTATTTAAATTATGTTTAGTTTATGGTCAAAGAGTATTAGTGTTAGTTTGACTAAAAAGGTTAAACTAGGAAATGTTTTTAAGACGGTAGGGAGTATATTAATTTAATTTTATATTTTGATACTTATAATAAATAAAATTGATTAAAAAATAATTCAATCAAATCTCGAAAACTGGAAAAAGGAAGAAGTTTTGAGAGGAAAGAATATAATGTGATAAACAAGATTTTTAAGGTGCATGCTAGATTGCTAGGTTTAAACCACTTGCTTTAATTACATCATTTTGTACACCATAATTTTGCATTAGTACTTTGATGAAGTTGCAAAGCTGTGATGAACATAATAGTGTACAAAGTGATATAGAAGTAGTATTATAGAATTTTCAGTGAATGTTGTATATTCTCTTATATTTTAATCAAAATATTTTTTTTTGCCAGATTTCCAATATATTTAAGAAAGATATTGTATCTTCTACAATTATATTTAAAACCTAGCTTATGTCTTGAACTAGTTTAATTAATCCATCTATCACACTTGACTCATTTTGATGAAACATCTGTTTTTAATTAATAGAACTTATAGTGTTAAAATTATCTTCTTTGGTTTAATTACTCCTTTTTTAAAAAAAAACCAAAAAAAAATTATTTTTTAGCGAACGAAATAGGGAATGAATCTTTTCAAAAATAAATAATTAATTAATGGACCCCAAATAAAAATGAATCGGTCCCAAATATATTATCCGTAGCTTTCAAGCTGTATGAATGGTTGAATTGTTTAGTTTCTACGCACACCGTAGCTTTCATGGATGCGATGGATGGGATTGTGGCACGTGGAAAGTAATAGCAGTGAATACAATATAATACAATATGAAACATGAAATGTTTTGCTTTTTTAAGAGATTTAAGGAAGTGTATTTTGGTATTGAATTTCCAAAAATATCCTTTGATGTGATGGGTAAAAGTAGGATTTGATGGGTAGATTATTAGTAAAAAGATATGATGTGATAGGTAGGGTATGAAAAAGTAAGGGATAAAAGTGACTTTTAATAGAAATGAGAAGTGTTTTATTGGACGGATGAAAAAAAAAAGAGAAAGTTTTATGGGTCGGAGAGAGTATAATATAATATGTTTACGAAGATTTTAAGAAACATGGAGACAAGGCCAAGTTGTTTTGAAAATTGCCAACACACTATTGTTCCTTTTAATGAAACAGCTAGGGAGTATGTATATGTACTTCGTGTTAGATTTTATTATTATTATTACGTATTATTATTATTTTTTGTACTCGTAAAATAATAATGACTCCCTATGGTGCACGATCAGTCCATTTTTTTTATTGCCACTCTATTTATGAATTATTGGTACTGCTGCTGCTAGGGGGAATGGACCATTTTCCATTGGCCAAATTGACAACGATGTTACATAAACTCCACGCAAATCCCACTTACCCAAACGCAATTTTTTTTGGATTTGGCTATTAGTCACAATATTTATGCTTCAATGATTCAATTATCTCTTGTGTGAGTAAATATTTTTGTGGAGTTGGAAATAACGTTTTTGATTACTGTTAGAACTTATCAGAATCATATTTCGAAAGCACTGCCCAAAAGGTCCAACACTGTCTCTTTGGCCAGAGGTAGTATTGACTATTGAGTGTGCAGTGTAATAAAAAAAGTGATCATAACGATATTCAAATAGTTACTCCATGGATTACAATATTTGTTCATGTATAATATCGTGTGACAATACAATTTAACGACGATGGAAGTATGAGTAAGAAAACCTTAGCTTGAAGGCGTTCTAATACAAGGAGAAGAATAAGCTACACTAAGGGGCTGTTTGTTTCAGCCTCTTAATGGTTCAGATGTTTGAATGATTCAGCAGAATTACCAAGTCTGACAAACAAAGTCGGAGAATTACCAAGTCTACAGACTTACCAATTCTCTAAACGGAGACTTACCAATTCATAATATGTCTCAGACTTACCAATTCTCGAGAATAGACTTAACTAGTCTGTAAACGGAGACTTATCAATTCGTTATATGATCGAGAATTACCAAGTCTGGAGTTACTGGTTCAGCAGTTAATGATTCAGACCTCTTACTAGTTCAGCACTTA